TGCGGGGTCTTGGGTAGTCCAGCTGGGTAGTGGAGGTGGTTCGACCACGAACTGGCATCGCGATCCTACCAGACAGCCTTGCATATGTTGTGGAAAAGCATCGAGTGTAACTAACGTGTTATTTTTCGCTTGGTACAGACATCGTCCGAAGGCGGGGATGACTGCTGTGTGTATGGTGTGTCGGCCATGCAGGGCTGGCGAATCAGCATGGAGGACGCCCACGCTACAATCCTTGACCTCCAGGCAAAGTATACCGGCACCAGCGACAAACCGACGGATCCGGAACATCGCCTCGCCTTCTTTGGTGTGTACGATGGCCACGGTGGAGACAAGGTGGCATTATTCACCGGCGAGAACCTGCACAAGATCGTCTCCCGACAGGATGCTTTCGCCAAGGGCGATATCGAACAGGCCATGAAGGATGGTTTCCTCGCGACCGATAGAGCTATTTTGGAAGGTTTGTGCTATGTTGTTCCGAGGTATCGCATGCTGGATCGCTGACTTGGGCCCAGACCCCCGTTATGAGGAGGAGGTCTCTGGCTGTACTGCTTCCACGGCCATTATCTCACAAAAGAAGATCTGGGTGGTATGTCATGATGAAAAAAAAGCTCATTGGATTGAAAATGTTCAAACTGACTGGTCATAGGCCAACGCTGGTGATTCACGATCCGTCTTGGGTGTCAAGGGACGTGCAAAGCCCCTCTCATTCGACCACAAGCCCCAGAACGAGGGTAAGTACATGGAATCATAAAGGTCGCTACATGAAACAGAATGGGGTCTGACAAATAATTACTACAGGCGAGAAGGCCCGTATCACCGCTGCTGGTGGCTTCGTCGACTTCGGTCGTGTCAATGGCAACCTTGCCCTGTCCCGTGCTATTGGTGACTTCGAATTCAAGAAGAGCCCTGAGCTCTCTCCCGAACAGCAGATCGTCACCGCATACCCCGATGTGACCGTTCACGAGCTGACGAATGATGATGAGTTCCTGGTGATCGCCTGTGATGGTATGTTTCTATTGTTACTCTCCCTCGCCATTGTAAGTGCTAACCAATAAACAGGTATCTGGGATTGCCAGTCCTCCCAGGCTGTGGTTGAGTTTGTCCGCAGAGGCATTGCTGCCAAGCAGCCCCTCGCCCAGATCTGTGAGAACATGATGGACAACTGCCTTGCCTCTAACAGTGAAACCGGCGGTGTTGGATGTGATAACATGACCATGACCGTCATTGGACTCCTACAAGGCAAGACTAAGGAGGAGTGGTATAACCAGATTGCAGAGCGGGTTGCGAACGGGGATGGACCGTGTGCTCCGCCCGAGTACGGCAAGTCTCCCGAGGAACCCGAAAGCGTCCCCACTTCGTGCTGACGGCCAGTTCGTGCAGCCGAGTTCCGCGGCCCCGGAATCCGGAACCAGTTTGAGGATAACCCGGATGAATATGACTTGGAGATGGAGCGTTCCCGTGGATTCAGTGTCCGTTCGGGCCGCATCATTCTCCTGGGTGATGGCACTGAGGTCATCACGGACCAGAACGACGAGGAGCTTTTTGACCAGACTGAGGAGGACCAGGACCTTACCAACCAGGTGCAGCACGAATCAGTTACTCGGAACGACCGCCAGGCCACTCCGGGTCCTCAGGGGAAGCAGGAGAATGGCAGCGGGACATCTGCTCAAATATCCGAATCCCCGGCTTCCACTGATGCCGAGAAAGAGAAGCCCGCAACGTAGACTATGAACTTATGAACAGTCTATCGGTTGGTCCTCCCTGTTTTGGTTTCAATCTGGTTTTGTTTTCCTTGCCCACTGTCGACGACCTTCCCCTTGATTCCACTATCTACGCCTTGTTTTCCTCCCCTTTCTTTGTTTTGCGATTAGTTATCGTCGGGGCTCTGGTCCTGAGCCTGTTTACACTTTTTTTTTAAACTCCCTCGACTTGAAATGGATATTGTCAGAGACGGGACATGCGGCAAAGAGACCCAGACGGAATTGAATGAGATGGAAGACAAGAGCTTTGAGATTTCCATGGGGGGTCGATGTTGAAAGAGAGCCCTTCGCTCTGGGAGCCAAATGGGCCTCATGAACACGTTTCTTATTTTATGCCATCACCACAACGAAATACCGCAGAAAATGTCCGCTATTGACGAGCCATTGACCTACACTTCCCTATCCGCTTTTTTTCCCGGGTTTTTCCCCCTCCTAATGCCCGTCAGTTCCCTATTCATTGATCTGCGGTCTGGTCTATATGAGTGAGTACTTGCTAGGGGCGCAAGCTGGTAGAGCTGGGTATTGATTGAGACTTCGTCAGGGTGAGAAATGGGCAATGGCAATGGTCATTTACATACCCTTTGGCGTATATCTGATGCATTGAGCGTTTTCTTTGTACCTTGGTAGATGTCACGGTTCTATTTTAAGCAACGGAGTTCTGAGAGAAAGTCATTTTGCTTGAAGTAGGGAAATCCAGGGGAACAACGGGAAATTTCTACAATTGAAATGCCAGCCGATTTTAGGTGATAGTAAAGGAGTACATAGAGTGATGTCCACAATGTCTTTCTACCCCTGTACCTCCAGAGCTAATCCACACGTGGTCAGTGTAGACCAGATGTGCCAAGACTTTAATTTGCAACATCAAATCCATATTTTCAATTCTCTGTATTGTAAGATTCAACCCCCGTACACTCTAAAAATCTGGGACCGTGGCTTATAACAGCGGAGTTGCGCCCCCACTCTGTCCCCAAACAGAAAATTACCAGTCTCCCTAAAACCGGGCTGCCGTCATTAAGGGTTCAACATTCATTCCCTCCCTAATTCTCTCCACCCCCAACCTTTCATTCATTTCCCTAGGAAGAAATCCCTCATTTATTCTCCAGGGCCAAAAATAATGTCGCCATCTACCTCACCCGCCGGCAAGCGCAAGCGCAGCGCCTCCCACCTCCCCGCGCCCGTCCCGAGGAACGTCACAGCCGACCTCCAGCCATCTTCACGCGACGCGTCCGGCGAAGAAGGCGGCGACGACTCAACAGGGCCTGCCAATGCCAACTCCCACAGCGCCAATGGCGCCCGTCACCCTTCTAAGCGGGCCCGCAAGGCTGCCGCCGATGGCGCATGCCACACCGAGGTGAACGGAGTCAAGCCGGTCAACAAGGAAGACCCCGGCGAGCCATCTGAGACAACTGTCGCCAGCAGCGACATTGAGGGTGGGCCTCGGTCGCGCCCCGGTTTACATATCGACCTGCCCGAAGATGATGAGCCTGTTACAGAGGAGCAGATGGCACCCCCGGTTTTTGGCCGCTTGCAGGATCCCGTGGGTTACCACACCAACCCGCCCCCAACGGGTCGCCCAGTACGCGTGTATGCGGACGGTGTCTTTGATTTATTCCACCTTGGGTAGGTGATCACACGAGCGGACCGAGTTTTAGTTTCAGCCCCCAATTTTCTCGGCCTGTGGGCTTGCTTAATTGGGTAATGGTAACTGACTATCACTTTGCAGCCATATGAGACAGCTCGAGCAGGCTAAGAAGGCCTTCCCCGATACTTATCTGATTGTCGGTGTTACTGGTGATGAGGAGACACACCTGCGCAAGGGTCTGACAGTGCTCAGCGGCGCCGAGCGTGCCGAGACTATCCGTCACTGCAAGTGGGTCGACGAGGTTATCCCCTGCTGTCCGTGGATTGTGACTCCGGAGTTCCTGTCTGAGCACAAGATCGACTACGTTGCTCACGACGATCTGCCCTACGAGGCCGCTGAGGGTGATGACATCTACGGGCCTATCAAGGAACAGGGCAAGTTCCTGGTGACGCAGCGTACAGAGGGTGTCAGTACCACTGGTATCATCACACGGTATGTTCATCCTTTCACGCCTAAACCAACACACCAGAGCTAACGTTTTATGTTTGCAGGGTCGTCCGCGACTACGACCAATACATCTCCCGTCAATTCAAGCGCGGCGCCTCACGCCAAGAACTAAACGTTTCATGGTTGAAGAAGAACGAGCTCGAGATCAAGCGTCATGTCGCCGAGCTGCGTGACAACATCCGCAACAACTGGACCATGACTGGCCAGGAGCTCGGCCGTGAACTGCGCCAGATCTGGCAGAACAGCCGCCCTAACAGCCCCGCACCCAGCACCCGCAACAGCATGGACTGGGGAATGCGTGGGCCCCTCACCAGCCCGACAGGCGGCAGCAAGTCGCATCTGTCGCGTGTAGGTGCAGAGCACAGCCGGGCAGATAGCCCCATGGGCTCGCGCCGCAATGAGGATTTCGCTACTGGGTACAGTCTCGGACTGATCGGAGGTGTGCGTGCTTGGGTAAGACACATCCCACAATCGCTGGATATGCAGCTCAGCTTTATCTATTATAACTCGTGCTGATACGCTTTATACAGATGGCCCGCAGTCGCCAATCCCTTCAGGAACCCCCCAGCGGCATGCACAGTCCCACCGACGAAGAACTCGAGCCCGAGCACAACAACGGCTACGAGGAGGAGGTGCGCGGTCGAGCCGGTCACGTCTCTGCGCAGTAGATGTCTTGGTTTATTGCCTTGAAGCCATATTGTCTCGGCAGGCTACAAACCTGGTGGCCTGGTGGTAAAGAGGCCTGCCATTCCAGTTTCTGTAGCCGCAACGTACCCCCTTCCCCCAGAACACCTTCCCTCCTCCTTTGCATATGTATCCATCTTTTCATCTTGCATTCGGTTCGTGTCTTATACTTTACAAATTGTGCCGTAACTGGCGGTTTTTCCTATGTTGGGCGCTTGGTGTCTTCTTTTCCCTTCTGTGAATGGGCTGTATGCTGGACTTGGCTGGTTCGGCTTCGATACAGGCTTTTTGTCATTTGAAATTTCCTTTTGGTTTTGATCTTTGCTTTGGTTGTGGTTCGGTGGTTTCAACGATCCTCCTTCCCTTAATACTCCAATGAACTTGTTTCCTGTTTGATGCCTTTGTGTATGGCCTTGGATTGGTGATGAATGATGTTAGTTGATCTGACTCCCTTCACCTGATCATGATCTTTGATCTTGGTCTATCCTCCAAGGCTATTCCTTGTTCCCTCTTTGTTCTGGTTTATAAAAGTTGGAATTGATGGACAGCTGGTCTGGCGAGGTATACCGCGGCCTTGATCATGTCCGGCTATGGACTGCATATAGATAGAGATGGCTTTTGATGTTTCAGTTTCCAAATTGCGTCAATTGAAACTTTGCAGATTACTGGATTTGAGATGTGTTTCGTATAATGTATGTCCTGTTTAACTATACCCGGGGGCAGCCCTAATCTACATAGTATCGTCTCTCCTGAGACATTGCCAGGTCGGAAAAATTACCCGTCCTTGAATTGGATATACACCTACCAAACCAGGTGTATAGAGAGGTCGGATTTTGATATATCATTGATAGGTACTCTAGAGACCATCTCAAACCCTCAGAGAACACATACGGGGAGATTCCTAGGACTTACCATGCTGCCTGGTTTATCTTCATAACAGCTTGCCTACTGTGTGCTACTCAAAGACCGTTGAAGCTTTTCTGTTTAACTCGTCTTCTCGGTATGTATCCTCTTTTGTATTTCACTGAAAGAACCCTTATGACTGCAATCACTTGCACAGGTCAGGCATTTTCCCAGCCCAGCGCATATAAAGAAAACCAATTCCCTTCTAATAGGTATCGCAACCTACTATTTCCCTCTCCCTGTTATGTTATAACTTCCTTAACAAGCTATAATTTATCAGTATACTACAAATAGCCTTTGTTGAGATGGCCCCATCTTTCATGGATGTGGAATCAGGCTTTATTTGCCAGCAGACTGCGTTGTTTGCTAGTTAGCAGCCCATAAATAGGCTTGTTCTTGAAGAATGATCATAGTTTCTTCTTCCTCTCACGCGAAACCAAGTCCACACAGGCTCAGGAGATCGAGCGACTAGAGAGAGGGATGGAGGACCAACTCTACCTTTAGTATCTCCAACACATCTTACAGCGCATCACAACTTCTTGATGCGCCTATATATCAAAGCGAGATCATATGTTCTCCTCCTTGATCTCTACATACCTCGAAGACTTCCCTCATGCCGACGCTGGGGAACTTACACGATCGACGTGGTCAGCGTTGCCACTCACGAGACGACTTCTCCGCTCCAGTGACTGCCGCCTCGCAGCCCATGGATTTCCTCAAGCTCGCATGAAGATCCCATCTGTGAGCTTTCCAATCTGTCTCACGATGTATATCGCTAACGTTTCGATAGGATGTAGCCGCTGTTTATGACCAGTTCCTAGCCAGTCGAGTGCACTTCCTCCACTCATTCCTCATCCTACGTCTATATCGAAAAAGGCTGAACATCCTGGATGTGAGGTTTTAACTTGACAGTTTACGATGTCCAGTGACCGGGGCCATTCCAGTTATGTGGCCGCCGATCACGCCGTCAAATTTAAGCTTGGCCAGAGGAGCAGCAAGCAAGCAGGCAAAGAGTTCGTTGGTTGCTATACTCCAGCTATGCTACTTTGAAGGAGTTGACCGCGGAAGGTGGGCTGGTGTCTGTGAGGGAGGAGGATATGAGGGGAGTAAGATATGCCCACACGTTCTATTATGATCAATCCAGCTTATCTAGAGTTTATAATCCCAGTTTCTCATGCATCATGTTCCTCTTCCTTGTAGATGTTCTAACATTTGGCAATGATGTATGTGCTTACGACTTCGTACGCAACAGGTAATTGTAGCTGAATAATGTGCAAGATCAGGAAGTTATTAGAAGATATCGCATGTACAGAGTACCCCTATCTCATCTGGGCGTGACTCTTGCCATAGTATATAAACCTATCAGAAAAAGGCCAGGTCCAAATTTGGACTCAGGCGGGGGTCATATTCACTCTCAGCATGGCCTGGATGACAGCTGGAATATCCCAGCTCAGTGCTGGGCCTTACGAGTTATGCTCGCACTGTTCCAGCGATGACCATTTGGGCCCAGAAATAAAGCCCATAACCCACAAAGATCCCAATCCAGCCACGGCTCTTCGGTGTGGAAGATCTCCCAAAAGCATTCTTTGCGACGAAAAGGTCGCTTACAACAAACATAGCAGCACCCAGGGCACGCGAGTGCCACCAGTCGGTTGGAACGATCGAGGGGGAGGTGGAAGTAGCGGCAGCAAACATTGCACCAATGATAACCGCATAAACCGAAACCAACGGCTTCATATCCGAAGCAATACTGAGGTCCAGTACGTTGGTCTTGAGAGAGGAGCGTGGCGGAGGGTATATGACGCCGAACCATTTTGCCGCGAGCAGAGTGCCTACGAACGTGGCGGCAAAGGTGGTCCAGGAGGTCTCGGTGGAATCCTGTAGGAAGGCTACAGTGTAGGCTATATGAGCCGCTGCGAAGGCGACGATGCCGAGTTGGAAAGATATGGATACATTTCCTGCTGATTTGGCTTGCGATTTGCTGGATGGGGGTTTGTGCAAGCCATGGAATTCACTGTGCGAAGGAATAAGAAAAAAGTCGCCCAGCAAGGAAAAGCCAAGGCCGATGGTGATGAGACGACGATAGTCTGACCATTCTGTGGATAGGAGCAATGGGCTGCTAAGGAAAGCGAGGGAAGAGAGCATTTTGAATACAGCGGTGCCCGTGTGCGATCTAGATTTCCATTCTGAGAGAACTAGTAAGGGCAATGAGCCCAGTAAAAGGCAGGCCGAAGGTGCAGTGATATCCATATGAAAAAGTGTTTGGATATAATGATGAAGAAGTCTCCTAATTAATATACTTAACAGGCGATTTCTTGGCGACAAGTTGACCTCGGGACATTTGCTTGTGATTCTTTGAACACGTACATATCTTCTTGTATTTGATATCAAATATAATATAAATCAGTGGATCTCTGATATTCTACATAACTTTTGATAGAATCGATGCGACATGTTATCCTACTACAATACACATGTAGGAAGTGGAACGTATTAACACGAATAGAAACAAAAGGGTATCAAATAAGAAGAAACAACCCATCAAGCAGCAGTAATAGCCAATCTAACCCCCTTCCTCTCCATCCCTTTCTTCCTCCCCTCCCTCGGCCTACACAATATCCCCCTCAACGCCTCCCTCAAAAGCCCAACATCCCTAACCAACTCCCCCTCAACAACCCCTTTAGCAAGAAGATCACACCTCGCCGTAACAGCCAAATCAAACCCCTCCAAACCCCTAACCCCAAGAATCGGCCTCACCCACTCCTCCTTAATCCCAAACGGAATCCTCTGACCCGAAACCACTGCCTCGCCGGTATTCCCAACGACACTAGTAAACCTCCCCAAATCCAAACTCAATGCCAAACCCCGTAATCCCTCCAAGGAAGCCACAATATCCCAAAACCGCACCCACAACTCATCACTATGCGTATGTGCATAAATCGACCCCTTATGATCCAACCCAGCCATGGGCACCCAGATCGGCATCCATTGGACCGTCAATCGGGAGATGGCATTCCGCGCAGCAGGCGACAGCGACGTCGCGAATGCGATAAAGGTGTATAGATCATCAACGTCAAAGTGCGAGGCTTTGTACAGGATTGTCTCTGCTTCGAAGTAGATGGCGCGACAGACGCGGAGGAGGGCGCTGTTGCTGTTGCTTAGGGTTGAAGGGAGGTGGGAGTGGGTGTGGGGGTAGAGGAGTCTGTCGCTGTGGCCTGGGACGCGGCCGTCGTAGATGCGCCAGCGGGCTGGGGTTGTGGGGCAGCAGTGGCGGTTTTGGGTTAGGGAGGGATTTGGGTGGTTTGGGTGGTTTTGCTGAGGTATTGGACAGCGGACATGGCGGATTTTGCCTTTTAGTTGGACTAAATGGATGGTTTGGGGGGTTTGGGTGTTTGTGGAAGAGTTGGTGAGGACATAGGACCAGATTATTTGGCGGAGTTCGGGGGGAAGGCGGAGGAGGGGGGATTGAGGTTGGAATTGGAATTGGAGGTTTAAATTCCAGTCTATAGGATGGAGGGTGTTCTCTGGGGAGCAGATTGCACGCGATTGGATTAAATCACGGACGGTGTCGCGCCAGCGATGGCCAGTTGGATAATAGTGCCAGATAGAATAAGGGTCACGGAGGACCCAGGTGTCGAAGTGGCGCATTGTTCTTTTAGATATGTTGTATAGAACATAGAAGTGTCAAGAGTGAAGAATATGGGGAAATTATGGGGCTTTTATGGGGTCGACTAGTACCTAACTTGTATACTAGTTAAGTTAGTGGAAAGATAGAAAGAGATGGAAATATAAACTGGAATCCCAATGCAGCGCTGATCGGGAGTTGTCGGATTGTAACCCAATGACGTCGAGTGGGATAACTTGGATTTTTATATTTCAATTTACTTCTAGTATAACAATGCAATGGCCGGAGCAGAGTGCTCCAGTAATGCAATCTTAGTCTCCTCGAATATACAAGGCCTGCAAGCCCAAAACTCAATTCCCTGACTCCGCTCTCTCCTCGTCAGTGGCGTCCTTGTATCCCTCCACATCACGATACTCCTCCACTCCACTCCCTTGTTGAACAGGACTCTCCTGCGCAAAAGCCACATAAACCGCACAGGCCAAGATAATCCCAGACCCAACCCAACTAATCGGACTAAGCGTACTCCCCCAAACAACCTTGTCATAAAACACCGCAAAAAGCATCTGCATATACACCATCGATGTAGCACGTGCCCCCTGCGCCATGGGCTTCCCATCCGAGACAGACGCAGGTGGGACATACGACAAACCCGCCGTCAACAAAAACTGCAACAGGAACCCACAAACGCCCAACCCTGTCAGCAGCGTCCACTCCACAACTGTATTAGGGATCCGGAACGGCACAGAAGGCACGATCAACATCGCAACGAAAGAAATAACCGTCGTCACGGACGAGAAGTACGTGACCGAGACAAGGGGGTGGGCTCGACGGCCGATCATACGGATGGAAGTATAAGCACCTGAAGCGCCGAGCACGCCCAGCAAGGCGACGATTGTCGCCATGACATGGTGGTAGGAGTCTGTTTCGGAGGGTGGTTTATCGACAGTCGAAGTGGACAGGCCTAATGCCCAGGCTGCGGTGGCCGTTGGGGTTGCGATTGCAATGTTGGGGTCGCGCTTGCTGAAGGGACGGGCGATGAGCACGACGCCGCCGAGGGAGATTAGGCCGGCGAGGAGCTGTTTTCGGGAAAAGGTTTCGCCGGGGATGAGGAGCGAGCAGGCGTAGCAGGAGATTATCGGGGAGAGGAAGGTTATTACCGTCGCTTCGGAGAGGGGGAGGTATTGCACGGAGTAGTAGAGGGCGTAGACGCCTGTGAAGCCGAAAAGGGCGCGGAGGAGGAGGAGACCGCGGACGGGGCGTGTGCCGAGTGGGGAGGGTGTTGAGGCGATGTACATGTATACGTAGCTTGCGATTGCTGTTATGGACATGCGGGCGAAGAGGATCTGGGGCGGTTAGTTGGGTTTATAGTGGGCGGAGGAGTATAGGTGGATACGAGGGAAAAGTGTCAACCATATCTTCCTTTTTTCGGTTGTCTCTTACCTGGAAAGGATGCATAGAACTATGGATCTCCAAGACCTGCGTCATGACATTCATAGAGGCAGCGAAAGCCTGCGCCAGCAGGACAAGCCCCATACCCTTGTTGCGCAACCACCATACCTGCCATGCATGGCGGGGTCGCGAAGCCGCAGCAATAGCGATGGCCTGGTCATCGTCGTCTTCGATAGGAATGGGTTCTGATCGAGCCAGTGCTGGTTGGGAGTCGGCTTCATTGTCGCTTTCACAGTAGTCATGTTCATCCTCGCGTTGAGTTTGCGTTTGCGTCGAAAACGATCTCTGCTCCGATCTCGAGTTCGATTCCGACTGCTCCACCCCCCGGATCGGCAGGGGCGCGTCTGGATGATCCTGGTATTGGCCAGCAACTGAGGCCGAATCAAGGTTCGGAGTGACCATGCTAGGATCTGTGATCCTGAGGTCGGTATTGGAGTGCGGGGATGTGGGTGGAGATGGAAGTATCTAGGCGACTTTTCTTTTTCTCTTTTGGAATCGGGATTGTAATTTCATAAGGTCTGAATGTACAGGAGGAGAATAGATGCAGATAAACAGTCCAAAAGGGAAGGATACTTCAATGTTATATCATTGTACTGTGGTTAAAAAGAGATTTCCGCTGAGTGCCGAGTGGAGCCCCCGTTAACCGCCTTTTTGATTTTTGCTCTATTGCTCTTTTACTCTTTTGCTTCTTTCTACTTTTCACTCTTATGGTCTTTGAATTTATTTGACTCGAAATGAGTTGCAAATAAGCAGAGCGAATCAGTGATTCTTGTGCATCGCGGTTGGGTAGTGTTATGCCTGCGGCTCTTCCATCCTGGTGAAAGTCTCTCGAATCACCGCTCTGATGGGAACGCCATCCCGCAGGGCATCTTTCAAGGGTTTCAAGGCAACGTAGGCGATCCCTTCCCACGGGCGACCCTTCGGCACAAAAACATACCACTGCCGAGTCATTTCAACCGCTCGATCTGGATTGATGGTCAGGTTCACGGCTCCTACGATTGCTTGTTTAGATTCACCGGCACGTAAATTGTTACACGCTGTATGCAGAGCCAGAGGCTCGACGCACCGGATGATAAAAGGAGCTCGTATTGAACCTGCTAGGCGGGTGTTCTGACCATGCATCTCGACCTTCCCACATAACTTCCAGAATTCCTCGGGGGAGTTTGAGTCTCTAGGGAAACGGCAGCTCATCCCAACAATAGCAATCGCCTCTGTTCTGTCTTGAGGATATTGTCTAGAGAAAGGCTTAGAAGAGCAGTGACCCACCATGTCAAATCATTAGACATGAGAATTAGTTCCAAGAAAGTACCTTTCTATTCCGTTCATCCAAGAATCCACACTAAGGCTGGTGCCAGTCAAGGCCGTATTGAGATCCTGAAGAATTTGAGACGTCTTTGCCTCTTGTCAGATCCAAACAATTTCCGGCCAAAATAGTATAAGTACTACATGTTAAACGTATGATGAAAAAATTCACTAGTTCTAAATCCTGTGATGCTATTCCGAACCGGATATATATATCATAATTTGGACATCATCCGACTGGACTCAACATTCACTTACAACAGCTTATAAGCCCATGTACTTGAACCTCACCTTACCTCACCACACCGACCTTTCTCTAACTTTATTCTAACTTAGCACATCAAGTGACTGAGCCCATTCCCAGTAGAGCAACCCGTGCGTCAAGTTGGGGTATACATACATTGTCTGGTGTAACCTTCTGTCTACATCACTGGGGATAGTCCATTGAGCCAGAATGTTAGTTAGCAAATAGGACATCATATGCGCGCCTAGAACGACTGGGGTAGCTATAAGGCTCTATCGTCGTTAGCAGGTGATCCTAAATATACCTGGACTTGCGGACTGGAAAGGGTAGTCGGGTCACGTACCTCAACCAAAGACTCCATCGCTTAGAGATATAGCGACGTGCAGATATGTCTCTCAACGGAGATTATTGATGACTTGGCCTTCCCCAAGAGCTTAGTAGCTTAGAAGGTACAACGACAGTTCGTGGAGTCGAGCTTTTCCCAGCTCGCCTTTCCCTTCGCCTCCACCATCATGCTCGAGATGAGGCATTTCTGCGATTGGTACGCCACGCCGACCTGTCGATCCATCTCCTCGCAAGTCAATAGGTCGTCGAGCTTCCGCAAATGCTGGTGAATTCTCCCACGCTCTTTCTAGATATCTCCGCGGCGGGAATCCGAATCTGCCTTAGGGACGCAAAGGGTGAATGAGGGTCTTGCTGGCCTTGGGTGATCGCGTTCGCCTTATTGCGCAACCGAGGAGGGCCAGGATCGAAGCGCTCAGCTCATTTGACCGACCTAACTGTCCCATCCAATTTCATACTTTTACGATAATCCAAGATATGCGATGACAAGATTGAGACTCCGGACGACCTTTAAACATAAAGACACCGCAGGCGATGTCGCCGGACCACGTTCGTTCCAATTTACCCGGTGATAGCTGATTCATTTGTAAAGATACAGTACTACATGTCTTCTGCTCTTTGCAACGTCATTGCTAGGGCGCTAAGTCACAAAGGGCTAGTTCCATATAGCCTAGCTACAAATGAAACTTTGGCCGCTGTCGAAATAAGTCTAAAAGAGGCGAGAACAACCTCCGTCCGCCAAATCCTGGCCCATCAGACCTCATTTGCTCCTCGACATAAGACAGCAACCCTCCCCAGGAAGTCCACTCCCATGCAGCACACCGCTCGGGCTCGAGGTTCTAACGCCCAGAAATGGGGAATAGTAAATTCCAATATATGAGAGCAGTGTAACGAAAATCAACTGCTACCAAATACTAACCTGAGGTTGGTAAGCCTCTCCGTCTTTCTCGCTGATGTATCCCCCGAAAAAAACAACGGCATAGTGCCTGCCTTCTGTATGCATGACGCTGTTCACGACAGTTAGAAACTGTAAATCTTGCACAACAAGCCCTGTCTCTTCGAGCACTTCTCGCGCTGCGCAAGTTTCCAAAGATTCGCCGAATTCGAGGTGCCCCCCCGGCAGGGCCCAGGTGCCTTTAACGCGAAGGAGTTAGAAGTTAGGACTTAGTTGATGTGAGAGAAGATTCCCCGCGGATAATAGATAGACGAACCTGCTCCAGTGCTTCCTAATCGTTTGCCAAGGACGAACTTGCCTCCATTGTTCCGGACGAATACAGAGACGCCGACTTTTGGTTCCATTTTGTGCAACAAGGTGACAATGATAGGCCGTTGATGGAGGTAATTATCTATCCTAACTTGTGAATTGGATCATGGAAAAGGCATGACATATCTACATTTACAGCTAATTTATATACAACATAGGTTGCACAAACATTCTACAGGATACAAGGCTAAATGGGTAGGGGATCAGCACTACTATTTTACTATACAAGTCCTACTAATTGCAAGCTAAGAATGACCTGAAGCTAACTAAGTCATCCGAACTATAACCCCTTACGCTGATGATAAACCCGACATTCCCCTCATCTCTGTCTCCCTTATGAAAACTAACTTCCAAAATCAAACGCGATCGAAAAAAGGAGAAACCAGAAGATAGAAATTCTTCAGAATGCGTATTTCTTATTATTCCCTTTCGGTTTCTCCCATTCGCACACTCGTTTTGTCACTCCTTCAGACATTAGTAGCATTGTCCCAAACCGCACCTCGCATAACAACACCTACACCACTGTTGAGTAGATTTTATTTCCTCGACCGAAAGCCCTCATTCCTAGAAAAGCGGTTTTCAGTAAGGTACCAATACGTAAGCTCGTACATATTGTCCACAGGTGTAACCTCCGCTTATCATGTAACTGGTGCTTATGCTCTAACGTCAGTAAACACGAAGATCACTTAATAAATAGGGAATAGACTACATGACTAGATCATTGTATGCGTGATAGGATAGACACTTAGTTGTGAAGGTGATTCCAAACCTACATATGTAGTGTAACGAGGAATTTCTTATCCTTTACTTCGTGAACAGAGTTCCCCCACTTGCCAATAACACGAGAATAGAGAGATATTATAGATATAGTCCATATACAATACGTGGGTAATTGGTACAGGACTTCATGCCATATTTTGCTCTGTTCGTTTTCCTCGCTTAGACCAAGTAAATGGGGATTCGGTCGCTCGTGGAAAGAAGATTCGAAGATAGTTTGATTTCTACAATAATATTGCTTGTTTCTAACAATATGACTGCTTATTATATCTTAGCTGTGAGTGGTCCTGGCTTTCTTTCAAGTCGATGTTGCTACGATTGGCCACCGAAGCGCAGGCGAAAGGTTTCACCTCACCTGAATACCTGCGACGTTCTGCAACCCCTCCCTCCTCGCCCAGGTACACAGAGCACTCTTCCCCCTTTTACAGTAGCAAGATTGCCATTCTACCCCTATTTTTGGAACCGGACCTTCGTCGACTATTGTCCTCTTCCCCACGGAAACTTTCAAACCCGGCTCTTCCAAGACAGTTTCCAAAATGGCTATCGAATCAAACGACATCACCTAGTTCGATGACGATGAATATATCGGTACTGAGGTATCCTTTCCGTCTGGTTCAGTATTGAGGATAAATATGAAAATAAGAGAACACGGTTATGATGAGCCTCAGAAGGATTGTGAAGAGTTGGGCATTCAAGCTGAGGCACACGGGGCGTTCATCTGCTCCAAAGGATCTAGACAGGACCTGCCTACCGCTATAATCAAGATTCGTTTGCAGTCGGTGGCTCCTAATTACGGGGAATCACGAGAAGTATATGCTAACGTTTATGGCCAGGATTCCGTGGTTTAAGACAGCAAGCAAAACACCCGATGCTGGTGCTAAGCAGGCTGTTCGGGAGATTCCCAGCATTTTTACTCGGGAAACGGAAGTCTTGTGCTATTTGACAAAGAAGCAGTGCTCCAGCACCTAGGTTGTTTTCTTGGAAGGTGGATGAATAGACCGACAAGGAATGGGTCCCGGGAGGCTACAAGTTCAGCATATTGATGGAGAAGGTACCAGGGTCAGATCCGTCAGATTTCTTCCTCACTCGCCAGGTGCCGCTCATGAACGGGATTGTCTGAGAAAAGCTTTCAAAGCAGCGTGGCTGTGAGTCCTTGTCTTGGCTTTTATTATGTTTCACCAGTCCCTGTGTCATTTGGATCATGGAAATATAAGCTGATGGTACTATTAGAGAGACGTTGCATTGCGGAATGGTGCATGCAGATGGGGCAATTCGTAACCTCATTTGGGACAAGGAACATAATAAATGGTGGGGTCACTCTCTGTGCAGTCTTTTATGACCTCGTTGTGGATAACCAATTTCTGACTCTTTGGCCAGCTACCTTGTCGATTGGGAGCACTGGCGCTTCGGGAAGGATAAGACTGCGTGGGAAGATCATATCTACATTGGATGGAACCTGGCACGAGCAGGGCCGTCGCACAATCTCTTCGATATGTCCGACTGGTGGCTGTAATACTCACAATATAGTTGGATGGGCGATATTAAATCCCGTGAAGTCCTTATTATAGACTCAGTGGCCAGTCGACAATATGCCGGGGTCGTTAGTATGGCACAGCTCTGTGCCGCTGTCATCGGGCACAGCTTTGGTCAGTTGACTGCATTGTGTGAGCGGGATCTTGTCTCTGAAGGATGCACTTCGGCTTGTCACAGGGCGTGCTTTTTTGATGAACAACCAGTGGGGACCGGAGGGAAGCTTCATGACTTCTCTACAGGCATCGCTAAATCAGGTTACTGCAATCATCGGAGCTGTCGACGCCCAGCTTGAAATTGCCTGCTATAATGGGGCCCAAAGCCATGTCATTGTTGGGTCAGCGACGGCAATTGATAGCGTGGAGCAGCTTCTTCAACGAAGCGATACCAAATGGGGTCACATCAAATACAAGCGACTGATAGTAAACCCATGGCTTCCATTCCCTTTTGACCGAGCCACTTCTGTCCGATTTGACTGAACTTCCTGAGTCACTCACTTTCAATGCTCCCGGAATTCCGACTGAAACATTCTCGGAGGGCAGCAGCTGGTTGACCATCACTGCCACTCGCATTGCAGAACGTAGGCGCGCCCCGGTTTACTTCAATGATTGGCTGAGCGAATGGGCCTGTCTGTCTGGCTCGAAGTAGGCTCAGGCTCTGGGGTCCTCCGCATGGTCCGCAGTGGACTACTTGATCCCTCGAAGCAAAGCAAATCTGCCAGTCTGTTGACTTTCGCGACCCTGCTGGAATGTCAAACCTAGCGAAATTGCCATCAGATTATGGAAACAAGGAGTCGAAGTTGCCTTCTGGCCCATCGACCGTCGTAACCGTGCTCAGCATTTGGACCTTCCGCTGCCGCCGTACCAGTTCGAAAAGAATCGGCACTGGTTGGAGTGGAAGAACATAGTTGCCCAGGAAGCTGTAACGCCACCTGAGTAGGCTAGAAGAAACCACAGCTGTCAACTCGACATGTAAGGCCTCAAGTTCTGAAAGATTCTCTCGATTCTCATATTCTCACAGTCTACTCTTTAAGCGCACATTTTCTAGTCGATTTTCCACCCGTTCTGAAATTTCATGTCGGCGTACCATGTCTTGACATACTCCTTTCCTGCATGAGGCCCATATAATTCAACTTCCCATTGAGGCGAAGGGGGAGCAAGTCCCGTCTCTTCAAGGCAGGTTTTCCGCAACTCCTCAATACTTCCACCGCGATCGTAAACCGGAAGTTCTCCCAACTGAGCACGTTCCATATGCATCCTGGCCCGCAGCTGTTCAGTTGACGCATAGTCTACTGTGAAGTCGCTGTTGACGACAACGCCATATCCGTCGCGCGCTCCATTCATCGTAACAAGCTTGCGATGAACTTCTAGAGCAACCTTTTCGGCAGGTCGCGTCAATGGATCGCCCAGCCCGCCTCCACCCCAGGTCACCCACTCGAGGAGATCACCGACGTCGACGCGGATATGGTCGCATTTTGAGGGCAAAATTTCAATAGGTGGATTTTCTGCAGACTGAGAGTACCGGTAAAGGGTCTTTCGTGATCGCTGACCTGGTTTTCCACCCTTCAGACCCCATGGTTTAGTAAACCACCGATCATCGTGGAGACTAAATTCACCACGGCACAAAAACCGATACTGCGTGCGTTGGGCGTTTCCGCCACGGTAGAACCCGGGACCGCCACTGTCAGCGACGCTTTCATTAGCTTCAATACGTAGTGGATAATTGAGCTCAATGCTTTCTGTGGGGATGGACTTGATCGCGGGGAAAAGGCAGTGGCAATCAGGACCGTCACCGGCCTGGCGGGCAGGGACACCCCCGAATCCGATTTGATAAAGCTGATACCACTCGCCGTTGGGCTTAAAGCCGGAATAAAAGAAGTGAGGCGAGTCACTGAACCCGGCTGCAGCCTGGTACGCTTCGTTCTTTTGGCCGATTAGGGCTTGGATAATATCGAGCGTCCGACCCATGAGATGAGTGCGACAAGAGATTGGCGCGGGCCGGACGGGCTTAAGCACTGTGCCTTCAGGAATATGCACATCGATCAGGTCGTGGAATCCATCGTTGATGACGGTACCCGGCGCAGCAGCCGCAATGAGATAGTACCCGATGAACATCTTAAACATGGTCTCCGAGAGATAAAAGTTGATACTATATCGGCTCTGTGGGGAAGTTCCGTCCCAGTCAAACAGCAGCCGACCGTCTACCTTTTTCATGGAGCAACAGAGAGCCCAAGGTCCGACGTTATGGCCATCATCGTCAACAAAGTCCGTGAAACGACTCTCTTTATCGTCAAACTGTCGTTCGATAATCTTTGCCAGTCCGGTACGATTCCGGTGCAACAGCTCATCAGAGGCAGCTAAGTAAACCTCGCAGCCAAAACGGGTAGCCAGCTCACAAACTCGCCTGCCGGCCATAGAACATGCGGCCACGATAGCTGTTAGGTCGGAGCGGTACCAATCGGGCTGGCGAGAGTTTCTACACAAAAGCTCCACCAAATCAGAGTTCATGATGCCGCGATTGTAGAGCTTAAGGCAGGGAATTTGGACACCATCGTCGAACACTGAGGTGGCGTTAATAGACATGCTTCCAGGAACCATACCGCCGACGTCCGTTAGGTGGCCGAACTGTGAAGCCCAGCCAATGATTCGATGGTCGTAAAAGATAGGCAATAGAACAATAACGTCGTTCAGATGGCTAATAGCACCCTGAACCTGGTAGGTATCATTGG